GATTGATGAATTCAATGACTTTTAAGACTTTTTAAGGATCTGCAGGAACCCTGAACAAAACTGGAAATGGGTCTCCAGTCCATCAAAAGTACACCCATAGACAATTTAAAGGATCTAGAATAGAATAGAATAGAATAGAATAGAAAGAGCCTTTATACTCCCGCAGAGGGGAAATTCAGGTGTAACAGCATCAGTATCGATTCACAAAAAAAAAACAATACAAATCAATATATTGCTATAGCAATAGTAGTAATGATAATAGAATAGAAATAATGATAAAAATTAAATAAAAAATAAACAAAACACTGTATATGTCAATAAAAATAATATAAGACACTGTTCAGGTACATTACAATGAGGTGTCATTTCCAGCAGTGTGCATAATGTGCGTGTAATATATATTGTAATAGGCAGATATTTACAGTTAGAGTTATCTGGTGTGGGTAAATAGGAGTGGGCCCAGGACAGAACCCTGGGGGACCCTTGATAACAGGGTTATCGTTGTATTTTATCACATTTCCTCCCTGAGAGGTACTTTTTTAAATAACTGACAGCCTGCTGGGACAGCTGTAGCTTCACAASACAGTGATGAAGAGAGCAGCACAATCTGCTTCTCCACAGAGTGGCTTTAACTGATGATCAGCCTCAGCAAAACGTGTCCATTTTCACTTCCTGCATGGTTTTTGGGTCCACCCCAGCCATGTGACACTGAACATTGTGGACAAGTGATTCTGATATMAGCAGATCTGCCTGTGGATTGATTGAGCTGAGGCATAATTTCAAACTATCCTGGAGAGAGTTGCAAACCTTCTTCTCTGTTTTAGAAGACGAGTGCGTACAGGTTGAGGGTTCAGACAAACTGGACCATTTTCAACAAGCCTTCAAGAACCTTTGTTAGAGCAGATAAATTACAATCAGAGTTTGTCAATTCAGATGAAATTTTGCAAAGGAAGCAAAAGAATAATTAAATATTTGTATTGTGATGCAGCTCAGAAGTGACTAATTTATTTCCGCAAAGCAAAGAATCTGGGACTCTGGTGAAAAAAGGGGAAGCATTCAGGAACATAAAGTGCTTTCTTCAGATAAGTCTGTGATAGCAGAAGTGTCACAACCACCTGTTGCGGAAATGCCTTCATCTTTTATAGATCCACAGGAAGTATTGCACAAACGCTCATCTCAGCGAGGCTGCTGCTGCAGTTCCACTTCATGTGAAGGATGGACGAGAYGAGACGCTTTCACGTGCTCATCTGGATGCTGGCTGCAGGTACGAGTTTACATTTTTAATCCATTACAAGACCTTTTT